GGAATGCCACCTTTGTTTTCCATTCCAGGATGCCAGGGTAACAGTCAGTGTCCATGGGCTAAATGGAAGGATGCACCCACCTCTAGGAAAAGAGAAGCCAAGACTACCCCCATGTTCTCCCACACAGTAGGTGGCCCTTACCCACAGAGGCCATGAGCGAGAAGTTCTCCAGCATCACACTGCGGTACAGCAGTCTCTGAGAGGCATCCAGCAGTGTCCATTCTGCCTTCGAGAAGTAGACAGCCACATCCTTAAAGGTCATAGGGCCCTGTAACAATGGGGAGAGCTGAGGTCCTAAGAAACCCCTTCCCTGGGTTTCACAGAGTCACTCATGCTTAGCTTTCTCCCTCCGAGGCCCTGGAGCCACTGCAACAGTGTGTCCTCAAGGTCCCCCTGAATGCTGTGTTCAGCACTCAACAACAGAAGGTGGATGGAGAGATGGGAGACCATCCAAGCTGGACATGTGACTAGAAAGCCCCACCCTGTCCTTACAGATAATTCACATGCAGTCCTCTGACACAACCAGATATGGGTCCCTCTTCTCTTATGCATCTGGACCATAGGCCGCGATGCCATCTCTCCACGCTCCCTTCCCACAGCACTGTTTGTATTTCCGTTCCCTTTCCATCTCTGTAAACAACACCCAGTTCCTCTGGCTGGTATTCCAGCCTCACGCCTGCCTTCCACTCTGTCCACCTGACATAATGGACACCTGAGGTTTTCTCAGCATTCCGATCCAGCCTCACTTCCAAAATTTCCTAATGTTCATCACTGGAAAAAAATTTTTTTTTGATATAGGGTCTCCCACTAGCCCCATCTCCCCTAGAACTTGCTATGAAGGCCAGGCTTTCCTCAGTCTCACAGAGATCCACCTGCTTCTGCCACCAGGTGCTGGGATTAAAGGCGCGTGCCACCACACCTGGCTTATTACTGGACTTTTAATATCTCCCGAATCTCCTGCCATTGGTTGCCATAGAATCCCTGTTATGGACTCAGGTAGGGGCTAAGTCCTGAGCATACCTCCTGAGAGTGCTGGGATCCGACCTCAGTGTGCAGTGATCTTCCCCGAATAGCGCCATGCCCAACCTCCTGCACTGCGACAAAGTGAAGCTCTCCCACTTTACCAGGTCCTAGACCTCTCTGCCCACTGTAGGAACCCAGACCACAGCAAACCACCTGAGACTGCCTGGATCCAGCTTCTGTGTGGTGCTGAGCTTCCCTAATCCTGCCATGCCCAACCCCCTAATCGGGACCATGTGAGGCCCGGGCTAACCAGGGCTAGAACTACAGTAGGGGATGAGACCTTAGCAGATTGCTTGGGGGGCCAAAATCGGGCCTCCCCTTAGCAAACTTCCTGAATTACTCCTTGAGTGTCTGATAGTAGAGGGTCCAGAGGTCAAAAGGGAGCCTGAATGTACCTTACTAGAGCCTGAAGTGGGCCTCTGTGGGAGCTCCTGAGTAGCTGACATGAAGTCATTAGTTCCCTACAATATAAAATCTGAGAGAACCTGAAACCTAGAACAACCACCTTTACATACCCAGTAAGAAAACAACCAAAGCTCACCAACAATACAAACAGAAGCAGACTCCAACTAAACAAAGGAAAGTTTGAGATTCATATCTGGATCACAAACAACAAAAGAAATCCACATGCCAGAAAAGCAAAAGTAAAATAATGTAAAAAACCAAAACTTCATGTTCCCACCAGTCCTATACAAGAGTTCTACAAGGAGAATCGCCTAGAGATAACCCAGGACACAGAATTTAGAAGACCAATTATGAACATTGAAATAATTCCAGGCCTTCTATCAGACCACAATGCAATAAGCTTAGAATCAACACCACAAGAAGTCCTACGAAATATACGACCTCATGGAGATTATATAACACACTCCGGAATGATGAGTGTGGGTCAAAGGAGAAATTAGAAAGAAAAGTATTCCTGGAATTCAAAGAAAAGGACAATACAACACAGCAAAACCTCTGGGACACTTTAAAAGCAGTCATAGAGGGAAGGAGGCCTACATTAAAAAATCAGAAAGAGCAGAAATAAATGACTTAACATTCCAACACAAGACTCTGGGAAGGCAAGGACAAATGAAACCCAAACCCAGGAGAGGAGAAGAAATAGTAAAAAGCAGAGCAAAAATTAATGAAATAGAAACAAACCAATACCGAGACTCAATGAATCAACAGCTGGTTCTTTGAAAAGCTAAACAAGATAGACAGAACCTTAGCCCAGTAAAACAAAAGAAAGAAAGCAAATCCAAATCAACAAAATCATGATGGAATCAAACCAAGTCCCCCAGACCAAAAGAATATTCTGGGAAGCTGTACAAGGAAATAAGATGTAAAATAATTCTAACTGCTGAGAAAAAGCTGTTTTCCAGACATCAAGGCTGAGCTGGTTTGAGATTAACCAGCTGATACTTGAAAGCCTCAAAAACATGTTGTTCTAACTCGGACACTTACCGCTTGAGAGACCCTCTCATTTCTCATGGAACTGCCTAAGAAACTTTTTGTATTACTTTGTAATCATGCAGGTGTAAGCTTATAATTGATTTGTGGCCTTACTATAGAATTGTGATATGGTGTTCTGTTAATAGAATTGCTCTGCCTCAGTAGATTTATCCCTGCCCACTTCCCCCTCCCGCTACTGCCGCTTTGTCTCTCCCACTTCTACCGCTTGTGACGTTACTGCCGCTTTGTCTCTCCCACTTCTACCGCTTGTGACGTTACTGCCGCTTTCTCTCTCCCACTTCTACCACTTGTACTTTGTGGTCTTTGCCTTTAAAAGAAGCCTGTGAACTGGGCTCTGGGCTTCTGTCCTCCGAGTGAGGCAGGAGTCCATTTTGCACAAACTGCCAATAAATCCTCTTGCTTGTTGCATCTCCTGGTCTGAGGACTGAGTGATTCGGGAGCGGCCTCCTATGGACATTGGGTGGCCCAGACTGGGGTTCCAACAATCAAAGATGAAAGGGAAATCATGACAAAAGACACCCAAAAGTTCCAGATTCCATTTAGAATGTTGTTTGAAAACCTGTACTCTATTAAAAGAAATGGGTGAATATCTAAAATCATGGGAACCACGAAAGCTGAAACAAGAAAAGATCAACAATTTAAACAGACCCATAACACATAAGGAAATGTAAACAGTAATACAAAACCTGCAGACTAAAAAAAGTCAGGGCCCAGATGGATTTACAGTGTTTTGTTTTTGTTTTTGTTTTGTTTTTTTGTCTTTTTGAGACAGGCTCTCCTTGTAGCCCCAGCTGTCCTGGAACTCACTATGTAGACAAGGTTGGCCTTGAACTCACAGACACCCGCCTGCCGTTGCCTGCCAAGTGTTGGAATTAAAGGCGTGCACCACCACGCCTGGTTTACAGCAGAATTCTACCATTTAAAGAAGATTTGCAACCAATACTAATTAAACATTCAAAAAGATAGAGAACTCCCAAATTCCTTCTATGATACCAAAACCAGCTAAAGACACAACAAAGAAATCTATAGAACAATATCCTTAATGCACATAGATGCAAAAATTAGAAACAAAATACATGCAAACTCCATTACAGAAACACATCAAAATGATCATCCACCATGATCAAGTAAGCTTTATTCTAGAGATGCAGGGATGGTTCAACATATGCAAGCCAATAAACATCATGAATCACATGAATGGACTCAAAGACAAAAACCACATTGTGATCTCAATAGATGCAGAAAGGACTTTTGACAAAATTCAGCATGTATTTATGTTCAGAGTCCTAGACGGAATTGCATCATTAATCATATAAATGGACTCAAAGACAAAAAACACATTGTCATCTCAATAGATGCAGAAAAGCCCTTTGACAAAATTCAGCATGTATATATGTTCAAAGTCCTAGAGGACATTAATTGTGAGGGAACATAACTCAACATAATTAAAGCTATATACAGCAAATCCACAATGAACACCATTCTCAAAGGAAAAAACTGGAAGTATTCCCATTAAAATCAGGAACCAGACAAGGATGTCCGCTATCTCCACTCCTTTTCAACACTGTGCTTCAATCTCTTGCCAGTAAGACAAGAGAAGGAAATTAAAGGAGTAGTAATTGGAAGAGGTCAAATTATCCCTTTTTGCAGACGATATGATACTATATGTAAGAGAGCCCAAAAATTCTGCCAGAAAACTCCTAGAACTGATCAATACATTCAGCAAAGTGGTAGGTTACTGCCTTTCTGTATACCAATAACAAGTAATCAGAGAAAGAGTAAAGGGACACCCTCCCATTCACTATAGCCTCAATAAAATAAAATGAGCTCTCAGAATAAACCTGACCAAAGATAGCACAGATCTTTACAATAAAAAATTTAAATCTTTAAACAAGGAGACTGAGGAAGACTCAAGATGGAAGGACCTCCCACGCTCATGGAAGAAATAATATTGAGAAAATGACCATCCTACCAAGAGTAATATATACAATCAATGCAATCCCAATCAAAATCCCCATGACATA